AAACACACTTCGCTTCTGTAACCTGGCGTATTTCTGAGTAAAACATGGCATTTAAAGAGATCAATGAAATGTAGGGCATTCTTGCAAGATCTTTGAATGTTTATGAAGCAAAAATGAAACAAATTTCAAAATAAAGCAGAGAAGTAAAGGACAGAAGTGGAGGAGGAAAGTGACTCAAGAACATCTCAATCAAGCTCCATTTCCCAGTTACTTGTTGAGGATCACGAGCCTGCATGGACAAAGGTGCTTTCCTCATAAACAAACCCACCTCCCCCATCTCCAACATCTCACCTAGTCTATCAGAAATAGAGGCACTTCGTTACGCAGCAGCTTGGCAGTGAAGACACTCATAAACACATCAGGGAGAGAAAAACGAAACACTGTCAATCTTATCCAACAGCCTCCCCCCTTCACAGCCCCAACCGCAAGCAGTGATGAAACTGATTATATGCGTCAAAGGGAGAAATAGAAATACTGTCAGTCTCATTCAACGCCTTGACTGAAGAATACACAGATGAGGAAAAATCAACCAATCTTTACTGCTTAATTAATGTGATATGGAGAGATTTGGGCCTGATTAACATATAATAAGCTATGATCTATAATAGAGCTTTGATTTCACAAACAAACTGCGAAAGCGGCTAGTCAAAATTAGTAAAACTAAAGTGGTTGTGTTTTACTGTACCCAGTCATTTTGCCTGAGATGTATACTTCTATTCATCCTCTTTATAGCTCAGTAAATGGGGCTCTAAATGAGCTGACTCAGGTGAACTAGCTCTCGGATGGATAAGCAATGGGGCTGAAAAACGAACATTAAAATCCTGCTCCCAAAAGAGAATAACAAGCACTTTATCTGCCACTCTGCCCTTTCAGTGTCTTAATAATCAAGAAATGGATGTATTTAACTCTGCTCTGAGGCATTCGCATTTATGAATCATTTTATCTTGAACTAGTCAACTTGAAATCAAAATAGACTGTATTTACTTTCAATACATCTGGTCTTATTGTAGACGATTCACTGTACATTATTCGACAGAAAAACAAGGTTTGTTTTCATACTCTTTTATAAATATGAATAACTTGCTCGGTTCTGAAACGACTATCCTTTTCGGGTGACGTCACCAAGTCCGCCGCACCACGTACGAAGCGCGACGCCATTCAACTGACTAGCTATTTCTGTGTCAACTCTGTTTGTGCAGAGAGAAGTTGATGGTTGATGGAAGCGTAAAATTAAGAACACACCTCACATTTTCCTGACTTCTGTGGTGCTTCAGTAGAGGGCGTTTGTTTTATGTTTTTCCTAGAATTTGATGAATTTTACACATAATTTCCGATAACAAACGCCCAGTCTCTCTGTTCGTCATTGAATCTACGCCTCAGTGTGGGCGGGGCTATCCAGGTGAAATGGAAACTAAGTGACCGTTACAACGCAGGTTTTGATTAGTTTGCGAAAAAAATAGGCATTGCCCAATATTAGGGCAAAATTATTTTTTTGTCTCATATTTATACCATATGATATAGTTAAACAATATCATACAGGCAACGAGTGCAATATTTTTGTCCCAAATAGCACGAGTGCAAATGTGATTCTGATTTACACAACAGTTCAATAAATAAGAAGTTAATATTGTGTCATATTTTAAACACAGTCTTGTCTGTTTTGGCTCAGTTGTGCCAATATCCACCTTTTTCCTGTAACAGCAGGTGCAGCAAAAATTAGAAAAAAAAACAAAACAAAAAATTGGCCGCTTCTAGCTATTTTTAGATGTACAACAGCTCGTTTTGCCGCTTGATATGGCAAACTGATATGTCTTACCATATTATTTTAAAGTATTTTTTTAATTGAGCACACTGGTTTGTAGTGCAAACAGTTTTACCATTTACTGCACTTTGCTATTCTTATCTTTATTTCCCTACAGTGGCTAATGAACTGGAAGTCTCGCACATTCACAGAAAATGGCTTACTTCTGCGTTGAAAAATAAAGTGGATAAAGCCACAATAGAACCGTTGTGCCTTGTGTGTCTGCGAGCAAAACGCTTGCTGTGTTTCGTTTATGAATGAATTAATGTGTTTTAAACGAATCGGGTGAACCAATGATTCAATGATCCTTTCATAAAGAGAGCCATTTACTTCATTACTGAACGAATCCGCAGTTTGAACAAATCGAATAAATGAATGACTCAGTCATTGACTTCCTCATTAAGACATTTATCGCCACCTACTGGCAGTTTTAGTTTCTCATATAGAGAATCGTGTAATTTGACAACATGTAATTTGACAAAATGTCTAACCTATATTTTGAATTTTGAATAGTATACTATCATACTAATATTACTATTTCTCACATTTTTTTTTTTTGTAAAGTATGCTGTTATTCCAAATTCTATAGTTTCAACCAGCCTTACAGGGGTTATAAACAGTTTCAATTTGAGTTATCAATTATCCATTTAATACATTTAAGAAGATTTTTGTCTCTTTGTCTCTGGCCTGAGTCGTGGCCTAGTGGTTACTTTGAATAATTGTGCTCACGTGGGCTTTAGAGTTTGAGTCTAGCTGGATCACATTTGATAGATCTGGATTGATGGCACATCAGACAATTTCTGGCATCAAAGCTGATGAGACAGATGGTGTGTGACAGTATTTAGCTTGACCAGCTGAGAACATTGACCGTGGACACCTCTATGATCTTGTAAATTGATGGATCATTAGACATCAATACATGAGGACCCAAAAGGGTCAGCAAATATCCCTATTGAACTGACTGAAGATATTCAGCCAATCGCACCTGTATCACAACCCCGCAACACCTAGCAAAAGCGCACACATATCTGTTGCATTCTTGACAACGTAGAAAATTGAGATTTCACCTCCATAATCTAACTTTAATGGGTACCTTCATTAGAAGTAATGCATTGCCTGGTAACAAACCACAAATCATGCAGGCTGCTCTGTTATTGCATTTGGAGTCTTGGCCTATAAATAAACCCCAACGCCCAGCAGAAACGAAACAGAGCTGCGAAGTACAACAACAGGGCGGATGTGCAATCAGGTAGAACTTCCACACCATAATAACACCTGCTAACTCTTATCCAGCAACTTTTTTCTTCATGTGTTGCAACTGTTGGGTCGAAAAGGCGTGCAATTCTGAATAAAGAAGAAACGACAAATTTTTAGGTATGTTTTGAAGCATGGCTGCTGTCATGTGCTGGTTTAAGCTGGTCCTTAGCTGGTCATGTGCTGGTCCTAGGTTGGTCCTAAGCAACTAGCTCCTTCTCAGGACAAGCTTAGGACCAGCACATGACCAGCTTAAACCAGCTCAAACCAGCAGCCATGCTTCAAAACATACCTAACCAGCATATGCTGGTTTTTTTCAACAGGGATATGTGAGGAAAACTAGCCGTTAACATTCCTTTTTATCTGAATGTGAGATGCCAGGTTAGTGCAGGAACCCTCCGAAGTAGACAGTTTGAAATCTGTCCTGTTTTTGAGCCAATCATCTGGCATGACTTATCATTTTGAAACAGAAAATGATGTCATGTCATTGGTGCATGCTAGCCCTTGACTAGTGACTAACCTGAGATGTAATTCCAAAAACATTAACTTTATTTTTAATGCAAGACATCTTTAACTTGAATGTGTGAGGCTTCCAGTTGTCTTAGCTGTACAAAACTGTTAACTGTTATGTCTGTTATGCTGCTTGACGTTGCAAACTTGGCAGTTATACCATTTATTGCACTTTGTTATTCTTTTAGTTATTTACAGCTAATGATTCAGAAGCCTCGCCCATTCACAAGAAATCTGCTTTGAAATTAGTGGATACTGTATGTAGCTTGCAAAAATATTTCATTAAAATGCTAGTTTTGAACGGCGGTCGATGAAGAAAGATCCCGTCGATTCTAAAATCCAATTTTTCTAACCCAATGTTGTCCATCTTGGTTTCGGCATCAATACCTGACGTCAATAAAAGGACACAGGGGCCATTAACACGTACAAATCCCAAGATACACAGTACGAATCCACAAATCAATGTTTTTTTTATTTTTATTATTATAATAGCAAATCCAATTGTTTGCATTCACACTATGTGGTTTCCACGCAAAACCATTATTAACTATGAGGGTTTTAAGTTACAGTAGGAACATTAATCCCCTGAATCCACGCCGTTAAACCTCAAATCCTTAAATCCTATTATTCCATCCTCCCTTAAAGTGTATAATTTGCCTCGTCTCTTGCCGACCACCGTATTTAAACGCCGTGGGCTGGTGTGAAGAGCTTCAAGGGCCTCTCTTGCCAGGAAAGCCCAGTATGGAAAGCAAACCTCATGCCGCTCAGGCTTCTGATCAAAACACCATTTGTTCTGTGTCATTTTTTTAAAATATATTCTCCAGCTACATCTGCTATATCTAAACCTCACAAGGAATATAAGGCAATTTGTCAGATGTTAGATTATACTGACACTTTTATATTCTGATAATGCTTTAGAAAGCAATTCTAACATGCCATATTTCACTCAGCTCAGGAAACAGGCGACCTCCCGCTTGCTTAAAGAGCAAATCGCTGGCCATGATGTTGCCATCACAACGTCCAGCAGCTAAAATGTCACATCACCTTTGTCGACATGCCTAAATCACCAACAACCTGCTGTAGAGAGAGCTGAAGTGGACCGTTCCTTCCATCTGTTTGCTTACAAGCCACATTTTCAAGTTATTAAAGCACGTTGATCATAATCAATGAGTCTTTTTTTTTTTTGTAAACAGGAAAGCTGGGAGGAAATTAAGTTAGATGCATTTTCTTTAGACAGCCAGGGATATTACATCCATCCTTCTGTGTCACAAATCGCATTTACGTAAAAGTTAGACTGAAAGGATTGTGGAAACATTACTCACCCTTACTGGGATCCCTATTAAGATGCATTTAAACACAAACCTGTCTTAAAAGGTTCTGTATGTCCAATTTAGTCACATTATGGAAAAAAAAAAGAAGAAGAAAAAAAGCATACCTGAGATAACGCAGTGGCTCTATGGTCTCAGGTTCTTTCTCATTGGAGCTGTGGTTCATCTTGATTGATTCAGCTGCACTTATCTCTAGCAATAGTCACCCTCTTATTGCTCTTTCTTTTCTTACTGTGTGCCCTGCTTCTGTCTACTGGCTTACTGGCTGATAAACCCAGGCTCCACGCTTAGATCAGCTACTCTTGCTGGAAGTGTCAGCCAATTAAGAGGCAGGGAGACACCGGGAGTGCCATCTGATTGGCTGAGCACCCCTGATGCTGGAGAGCTCAGTCAAGCATGAACCGCATCTCTTTCAGATGTAGCATCCTCAGTAGGAGAGTGTGAATATGTCTATTTCAATTCAAACGCTTATGCATCATGGTGCTGCTTTGGTTCATTATTTATGCAATACTACTGGACGTGCATATATTCATGCAGTGAGGTATTAATATTCAAGGTTTGACCATTTAAAATGATTTTAGAGAACAATGTAAGACTAATTCATGTAAATTGTGATGCTGCTTACATATAAAACAAACAGTGTAACTTGTTAAAGTGCTTAATCCTATTATAAATATGCACGAATTGGCTCATTTGCATTTAAAATGAGCAATCAGCAATGTTTAAAATAATTTAAATAATATAAGTGTTCTAATAAAACTGGATTAATGGAGATGGCTACAGTTTAGCGCCACACTGCCCTTTAGAGGTCATATCGTGTCACTGCAGGCACGTTTCCTATTCTATTGAAACGCTAGGGATATAATTGAGCTCCAGTTCATCTAAAACTAATGAGAGGCATTTGTGGACATGCAATTAGAATTAACTTAATGATCCATTCCAGCACTCACCGGCCATGAACCTGATGTAGGTACGTCGAAATAACACGTTAAATGCTCGACAAGATGTATTTTTGCTCATCATATTGGTGGTTAGTGGATGACGGAAGTTTCCGTGAAACAATTAAGTGTGTTCCCGAGACATACTGGTATAAATATCTCGAATATTCAACGCTGGTCTCTCTTTGCACATCATTAAAATGATGGTTGGTTGCAGAATCGAACTGCATTTATGGCGCGAACGATGTGAGGATGCCCGTTTCTCGCCTCAGAATGAAAAATAAAAACGTCAATTTCGAAATAATGTTTAAAGTAAGAAAAAGAGTCAAAATGTGAGGTATAAAGTCACAGTTAAAAATAATAATAATGAGATATAAAGTCATATATTACTCTCTCCGAGGGTGCAACTGCTATCCATATTTCCACAATCTCAAAAATCTCATTTTTTTGATTGGAAAGGGCGAGTCAGAACAAGCGAAAATGATTGCATGTTTGACACAATTTTACAACTGACAAAAGCTTGTTTAAGCACCTTTTACGTCTACAATAAGTTCTCAACAATCAGTCAAGTCTTCTTAAAATTAACAAAATGCTAAATTAATTTAATTTTAATTTAATTTAAATTAGGCATTAATGTGAATTTAATGGGGTACAAATAAAAACCAGAGGGCTGAGTGTTTCTTCTTAGTATGTGTCTGGTATGTGTCCATAAGTTGTCCCTGGACTCCATTTTGTATATGTTCTATTATGACATCATAAATTAGAATGCTGATATCTTTCAGAATGTGGTAGAATTCAAATGCCTGTTTCAAAATACTTTGCAGCAAAGGTGAGGAACGTGATCCAAGCTCGAGGCCAAGCTGCTCGAGGCAGCTGTTGTAATTTAATTAAAACAATGTCTGTTAATAATGTATTGAAAGGCATGGGCTACAAGTTCATAGCCGAGATTGGTGAAGGCAGTTTTTCCCAAGTCAAGCTCGCCACTTCGCAGAAACACCACTGTAACGTGGCCATCAAAATTGTGGACCGCGTAAAGGCCCCTAAGGATTTCGTCCAGAAGTTTCTCCCAAGGGAACTGGCGATTTTGAGACGAGTGAATCACGAGCACATTGTGCAAATGCATGAGTTAATTGAGGTGGCTGGTAAACGACTTTGTATTGTGATGGAAGCTGCAGCAAAAGATCTCCTTCAAAAGATACATGAAGTGAAACGCATCCCAGAAGACCAAAGCAAAAACTTGTTCTCTCAGATGTTCAGTGCCATCAACTACCTCCACCAGATGGACATCATCCATCGGGACCTCAAGTGCGAAAACATACTGCTGACAGCCGAAGAACAAGTTAAGATCACAGACTTCGGTTTCGCCCGCTGTGTTCAAGACCCTTCAGAGCTCAGTCAGACCTTCTGTGGTTCTGCAGCCTACACTCCACCAGAAGTCATCATGGGAACGCCGTATGACCCAAAGAAGTATGATGTATGGAGCCTCGGGGTGATTCTATACGTCATGGTGACTGGATCGATGCCATATGATGATACCAACTTGAGGCGACTTCACCGTCTTCAACGCAAGTCTTTGGTTTTTTCGGACGATGCTGGTGTTCAGGAACCATGCCAAGTCTTCGTCCGTACTCTGCTCCAGTTCAATCCTTCCGCACGTCCAACCATTCAGCAGGTGGCAGAACATCCGTGGATGCAGAAGGGAAAAAGCTAAAGCACACAAGCTAATAAAACAAAGTGTGCAAATGCAAAGAAACAGTGTTACAAATCCATTCAGCTGGGAGAGTTTGGATAGTCCTAATATTTGAATTCCAGTCACGACTGAGGAAAATGATCAGTTTTGGGAGAACAGTCTGAGGCAGAATAGCAATAGATTAATGGAGAAACTATAAAATAAATTACTCATAGTGGTTGACCGATGTGGGTCTTTGTAATGGCCCATGATGATACAGCTATCTTCAGAGCAAGGTGGCCGAAGAGCAATGTAATACAATTTTATCTGCAGCAATTAAGATGTATACAAAATTGCTACTTATTTTGCATTTTTATTTACTTCAATATTCATTCCTATATTGTATACATATACTTAATAGTTACCAGTTAGTGTAATTTATTTAATTCAATTTTTTATAGAAACTTAAACTTAAAATACTAGCTATAACAATTTAAATGCTGAAAACAAAAAAAAAATTGTTATTCATTATTTTAATATTAATATTCCTTGGTTCTGTTAATAAAAATAAAAATGTAAACTTACAATGTGGGGACTTCAAGTGGGATAAAAATTGAGAACCATAGATACATTTTAACAGACAATACACGTTGTTCTAAACCCATAAGATATTTTTGAAAACTTTTTTCTTTATGACATGAAAGTAGATGACTTTCATGGTGTCTTTGGAACTTGGACCTTGTTGGTCATTATGCATTTGCATGGCTACAGATGCATGAATATTAAAAATGAATTTCAATCAGATTTGGAACATCATGAGAATATTTTTATGTTGTTCCTTAAAAACCTATTTCTATACCCCTCACATCCTCATATCAAATTAACATGTTGTCCACCCTGACCAAAGGCCATTTCACACTCCAAACACTCGAAAGTTTATAAAATTTATTCAAATTAGATCCCAGTATGAAAAAAAAAAAAAACATTCACACTCAAAATACACCCACACACCAGACGAGGTTAAAATTAGTTTTTATTATAATTATTAACTGATAGAGCAGAAACAGATGGAAAAAAAAAAAAACGTTTTTTTTTTTTTTTTTTACAATTCTTAAAAGAGATGCTCCACAATAAACGACGGCAGCATCTCAGAGGGAAATGGAATGGTGTTAGTTGTCAGCAGCAGGCAATAGTCAGAACAGCAATCAGAAACGGGGGGCCTCTGTGTTCAAAATGCTCCACAGGCATTCAAGATCACTAAACGGATCATCTCGAGAAAAGGGAAAACAAATTGACTGAAGCAGAACTGACTCGATGTGTTCATGGACTGCGATGACAAAGGACCCGAGCTGTCGTATATAACATACATAAATGTTTAGCTAAAATACCAAGCGTACTGCTAGCAAATCAAATCAGATGAAAGGAAAATAAGAGTAATGGTAAAAATAACATGACCACCACCTAACAGGTAGGACTCAGTTTAGCTAAGAGTGTGTGCTACATTCAATAAGCAGTAATGCTTTCAACCCAAACATTTCCTTTAAGGAAAGATTAAGCCGTGATTTAAGCGGCACGACTTCCAACAGGATCTAAAATGGTAGACAGGACATGAATGAACTGCGCATTAGACAAAAAATTTGCATTTAAACATCCTAAATACAGTCCAATCTTAAATTCACAAGGCTTTGAAACTATTTGGGAAGGAGCTAATGGGATATCCTTCATCTAAAGTGACATTTATAAATAACACAACATCCAAATATTACCTAGATGCTGTTACAAGAAAGCCTATGGGGGAGCACATCACAACGGTAACAAAAAGCGTAACTTATCATTTGTCAAACCTGGACTAATGATGGCATAAACATACATACCAGAACATCATAGACGTTTGGGGTTGTTATCATTAACTAAAACTAAAAACATAAAAAAATAAAAATTAACTGATTAAATAAACTTTTTATTTGAAGTACTAAAATAACAAACTAAAAAAAAAATAAAAAAAAAAAAACTATGTTTCGTGAAAAAAAAAAAAAAAAAAAACCTACCGTCAGGCTCATCTGATAAAAAAAAAAAATCGCTCAAACATGAAGGTCTAGTAGTAGTCCTGTTACAACTGCTGCTTTTTGTTAGTTACGTCCATCTCTGTAACCATCCCTGATGCACAATTCTTGGATAAATGTCTTTTATAAGCTTACAAAGAAAAAAAGAAAACCCAAAGTATTCAAAAATGCACACTACACCAGCAGATGTATAACCACCTCAACAGTATAATTCCTTAAACTTCTAGCCTTTAAAAAAAGGCCATTTTGAAAAGGGTGGAATGAGTCCACAGTGAAGCTAAAAAAACAAAAAAAGCAATGTATTGACATCAAATACACAAACATACTCTCCCCATATCTGTTCAAGAGATGCTGTGGGTCGGAAAACGTAGCTAAAGCTGTGTAGATGGTCCACAAAAAGGTCGTAAAACAATCCCTGGCATCACGCAGGAACTCTACGGTCTCGCGTCCTCCACTTCGTGTGGGAAAAAGTGTCCATGAGCCTCTAGAAACGTTAATGGAGCAATTACTCCACCTGGAGGGCCGTGAATTGGGAGTTGTGGGTGATGTCTATTAGACCACTAAAGCCCATTGGGTAATCTAGGGATTCAGTAGATAGATACAAAGGCCTGTAGAAAAGGTCCTTGGTCTCCTTGATCACTGATCCCGGTACAGTTCTCCTCTAGGACACTTGTTGGCCTATGGGGTCTTACCTTAGACTGTACAACTAAGGGTCTCGGAACAAAGGAGAAATAGAGAGAAAATATAATAATTTTTAAATTTTTATTATTGCTTAACGGCTGGTTGTCTGATACTGATAACCGACCGAATGTCCAAAAAGGCAGGATTATAATTCTGAGAAATTTGAGAGTGATTTAATCAGGGCATCATTTCCATGTGTTTGCTGTTTGGGAAATGGAGCGGGAAGGGATCATGTCCAAGAGGTACTCTCGCTGACGGTCCACCGGAGATGTTGTCCTGTGCACAGACAGACTGGGGTTGACATAAGCCATGGTGACACCTGTCGGGGGAGAATTGCCGATTTTGAAAGAATGACCAAGTACATTTCTAAAAGATCTGAAGTGTTATTAGCCTACCCTACATTTCAAGCTAAATTAACTGTGACTTTAAAAACAAGGTTGCAAAGTAACAGGGTTGACAATTTGATATTTCACCAACAATTACTAGCCTTATGGCAATAGTCATGACACTACATGGTGTTTTAAGAAAAAAATAACAATTTAAAAAAAAATCTGTTGTTTACTATGACAAAATCATGACAACAGGGTGGAAGATTTGAGGATTTTCTGCTTCTGACATGCCTAATAATGCAAGTAAATATCTTTTATTACAGAAAAGAAATATTTACTTATCTTTGATAAGTAGAAAGGATTGTCATATGACAGTTTTAAGTAATAGAATACTAACAAATTTTAATCATTTATAATTGTTCACTTCTTACACATCTAAGAATGAAAGAAAAAGTGATAAAAAAAAAAGAGGAAATATTTACATGTCCATGAAGAGTTGACAAGATGATGTCATAACAGTTTTTGGTTAATTGACTTATATAGTATAGAATAGTATATAGTATATAGAATAGTATATAGCAGTGGTTCCCAACCCTGGTCCTGGAGGCACCCCAACACTGCACATGTTGCATGTCTTCCTTTCTCTGACACACCAATTTCGGAGTCTCTACTAATGAGCTGATGACCTAAATCAGGTGTGTTTGATTAAGGAGGCATGCAAAATGTGCAGTGTTGGGGTGCCTCCAGGACCAGGGTTGGAAACCACTGGTATATAGTATAGAATTTTAATTAGTTTAATTAGTTTTTAATTTAGTTATAATGGTAACAGGGTTGACAATTAGTGATAAAAAGAAAAGAGGCTTTAATTTGTTCATGAAGAGTGAAAAGGATGATCTCCTGTGATGGTTTTTGATTAACTGAATAGTACTACATTTTAATAAATCAACAATTATGATGATAACAGGGTTGACAATTTAAGACTGACCACCTCTTAAATACCTATTGTAATGTATGATAGTAATGAGTATTTAAAAAAAAAAAAGATGTATTTGTATTTAGTTAGAGATATTTACTTGTCCATGACAAGTTGTATGACTGGAATAGTACAGAATTTTAATAATCAATAGTGTAATTAGGTAACAGGGTTGGTAATTTAAGATGATCCCATTCTGATCCACCTAATAATATAAGATAAAGTGATAAACAGCTTGTTCTTGTACTTGTTCAATAATAGTTGAAAGGATGATGACATATGACTGTTTTTGATTAATCAAATAGTATAGAATTTTGATATTCAACAGTTGTAATGATAACAGGGTTGACAACATAATTGTCAACATAAATTGTCGATTTCTTACGTACTTAAAATGGGATGCACCAAAAAGAAAATTCTGGGCCGAAAACCGAAACTGCTTTGTAATAATTATTTATTAATTTATTAAATAATATAAAGTAATTTCGTAAGACTTTTTAATTTAACTCAATTTTAATGATACTGAATTTAAAAAAAAACAAAAGCCAATAAAATAACCACACATATATTGAAAGTAACAATAAAATTAGACAGAAAGATATTAATATTGAATATCAATATTATTTTTATTCAGTTCTATGCAACAGAATCAGATATAACTTTTTATTTGACTAATTATCCAAATAATGTGTAATCTTACAAAGCTATTATTATCAGAGCATGTGAGCAGAGCGTGGAGCAGATCTGTGAACTAGAGGGTAGCTCCATTTTACCAGCGTTGCCCAGTACAGCTGTACTACAGCATGTTACAGAACAGTAGCGCTATTGCAAACAGGAACAAGTATACTACATAGAAATTTCCTGTCAGCGCGTTATTTGAGCGGACCTTGCTTTTCCGGTGAGCATGAACGGAACGTGAGCAGAACGTACAATCATAGAGCGGAATGTTGAGCTGCTAGAAGGAGAGTGAAACCTGCGCGCTGAACACTGCTGGGCGATGCGGTGCGACATTTTCGTCTATTTTTTTCTTTCAGCCGAAAACCGAAAATGCCATTTTCGGCGGCTGAAATTTCGGTGCATCCCTAAATCAAGGATATTTATTTATCATTGAATGGATGTAAATTGTTAAAATTGTGTACCATTCCATTCATAAATAAAAATCTCAGACAAAACTGTGTTTAAAGAAATAAAACAAAAAATATAGAGAGTAAACAAACTATTTTTTTCTCATAATTTTCTGGAAAACTGGGAAACCCGGGGCTGGAACAGACCAAAACTCAGTCTCAACTAACTTTTAAAAATGAATTATACAGGGTTTTTGTTGATGTGTTTAGAAAAATGTGTAGCACATGTTAACAGGAGCACTTTTGCCTCATTTTTGCATGTTAGCCCTTTGCAGTCAATCAGCTCAATAAATACACAAAAAAAACATGTACAGATACAGGAAATTAAGAGACAGGAAAGGGGCAGACTTTTTTTTTTTTGTTAAGTAGGCATCATCTACCTGCGGTGCCGCTGTTCTGTTTCCTCCAGGTATTGGTGGTGGGGTTTCTGCTGCTGGTGCCCTTTTCCCCTGCCCTCACGACATGCTTACCTGGCCTGCTGACCAGCGCAGCGGCCTTGACGGCGTTCTGGAGCTGGGAGGAAGTGGAGAAGCTGTGGCTCACCCTGCGTGCGCCCGCACTCACTGCCTGCTGTACGCTACGGGACAGCTGGCCTGGAGTCTGAGGAGAAAAACATGCTAAAGTCAGAAAACACCATGTTTGGGACAAAAGCAACCAAGACGGGAGTGTCCCATTACCTGCTTGATGGTGGTGGTGTGGTATCGACCGACCGACGTTCCCCTGTTGGTCTGCTGAGTCAGCGACGTGCTCACCTGCTTATACTGTGGCGACACCAGCACGTGATCGGATTTAATCACCGGCGAGGATGAGGAGGAAGAAGATGAGGTGGTGGTGGTCTTGGAGACAGGCGAGGCAGCCTGCTGCAGGATGCGCTGCTCAATCTCTTGCTCCTGCTGCAGGGCTTTGACGAAGGCGGCCTTCAGGCGGCTGGTGTGCTCAGCCTTCAGGGCCTTCTTCTGGTTGGAGCTCATGCACTGCTCACAGAGGATGGAGCCACTGCTCTTCTCCTGCCTCCAGCGAGAGGTGAAGTCCGTCTGGCACTGGGCGCAAGTGAAGGGCTCCTTGGGTGCCGGGGTAGATGCAGACTCTGTCTGTGGATGCTTACCTGGAAAGAAAGCAAGTGATGTTAGCATGGTATATTGTTAGATGTCGTAAATACGCACTATTAGGGTGTACCCACTTTTAGCCAGTGTATCTAGCAGGTTCTGGACCACCATTTCCAGCCCCACCAGGTAGATGAACTCATTATTAGCTGCCGAGGGCAGGAAATTGAGCTCTGGTGCTGGAGGTTTAGGTGGTGGTATCTCAAGGAGGGTTTTCTCCAGCTGTTTCCGTAATGCAAGCTTGGCGGCGGCCCGTCGGCTGGCAGGAGACTCATTGGCGCTGACAGAGGTGCTGCTGCCCAGACCAGACTGAGAGCTCTTCAAACCGATGGAAGAGGCCTGGACAAGGAAAAACATCATGTGAGTTCATAACAGCTTCTATTTATCAGTTTATCAAGACAAAGACAAATGTGAGATGTAATATATCTTTCACATTACAAAAAAATTTTTTTTAAATAAAACCTTTTGTTCATCGCCTACTTCGCAAACTATATTTCATTTTATGTTAATTATAAAAAAATGTATATTAAGTATGATATAGCAACTACAACTAATTACTTAAACACAATAGTAATATTACTTACTACAAATATATTAAATATAAATATATTATAAATATATTTAAAAAATGGTCATATACTTGCATATAAAAATACTACACCTATATAATATAAATTAATTATATAATAATAAAATATGCATAATACAGCTACTGTTCTTAGTTAATAAGCATGAGATAATATTATGACGGTATATATGCCGATTAGGGCTGTCAAAAAAAATTCGAATTTCGAATATTCGTTGAATTAAAAAAAAAAAATCCATATTTGAATGCAAAAACGTTGCATTCGAATTTTAGGTGTGCGTCAGGCAGCCTTAAGCCCCATTCACACTACAAGCGACACGCAACAGCAAAGCGACACAATCCTATATTCATTTCAATGGAGAGCTGGCGATTTCCGGCGACACGAGCGATAGCAAGCGACAGCGACCGTTGGCGACCGGATGGGGCGTGTCCAGCGACGCGACAAAGGTTCAGAATCCTTCAACTTTATGCAAATGAACAGCGACTTTCGGGAGCGACAGCAAATAGGAAAGAAGACGGTAGAGCTCATGTGATCGTTCTCCAAACGACAAAAGTCGCTGCTAGTGTGAACGGGGCTTTATCAGTGGCGCACGAGATGCGATGACGATGTAAGTGTCTTACAAGATGTTGCATTATAATGTTTTTGTTAGCCTATTCAGTTGAAGCCACTAGATGCGGCGCTGCTGCGTTGTTGATTATA